AAAATCTCGTCTGATAAGTAAGAAATGAACGCGTGCAAGCGTGATCGGAAATATGATAGCGTTCAAACGCGACTTAAAACATATATGAGACCGATTTGAGCGCAGTTAATAGATAAAATGCATTCAAACGCGTTAAATATTTTTCGGATAGGCGTTGAAACACAGTTCACTTGTTTTCTAATTGCGTTTAAACTTGTTATATATAAAAACTGCGTCCAAACGCGTTGCAAAATATTTTTAATTGCATCTCAACTCGTTGTGTTGCTAAATCGCGTTTCAACACATCAACTTTGCGTTTCGTACTTACATGGGTAGACATTCAAATAAAATTATCAACATCGTTATTGTTCTTGAAAATGGTCTTATAAAGACTGAAACGTTGAACCTCAAATAAAATTTCAACTTGATCGTCATATTTGTCTATTAGTCATTTAGTAGAATTTTTCAATTATTTTGAAATGAATCTTTAGAATTAATTTTGAAGCGTTTCGTTTTATCACAGAAAGAACGTCAACATTCATCTCGTTCATTACGGATGAACCTATTTATATCGAGCAATCTCTGCATACCACTAAAGCGTTCCATAAAAATGCATTACAACAAAGGAATTCGTCTCAAGATTCATTTCATCAAAACACTAAACTCTTCAATAATAACGTAACAAAACACAATTCTAGAACATCATTTGAACTCCCCATGAATTATCTGGGAAAATCTTTATAGACGAAACAATTAAATTTAAAAATTTCTTGGAACATAGCAAAAAATTGTTTCACTGAAACACACCTAATCAAAAAATATAAATTTTCAGATTTATTCAAACATACTTAAATAATGTTCAATTGAAACAAATCAAAACAAAAAATGGATAATACTTTGGATTTGCTTGAAAATACGTACCTAAATAATGTGGAATCGAAACAAATCTAAACAAAAAATGGATAAAACTGTAGATTTGTTTAAACATACCTACCCAAATAATATTCAATTGAAACAAGCCTAAACAAAAAGAATATAGATAAAACTTCAGATTTGTTTTAACATACGTACCTAAATAATATTCAATTGAAACAAATCTAAAGGAAAAATAGATAAAACTTTAGATTTATTCAAACATACCTAAATAATCTTCAATTCAAACAAATCCAAAGAAAAAATGGATAAAATTTTAGATAGATTTGAACATACGTACTTAAATAATGTTGAATTGAAACAAACCTAAAAAAAAAGAATATTGATAAAACTTTAGATTTCTTTAAACATACGTACCTAATTGATGTTGAATTGAAACAAATCTAACGAAAAAATTGATAAAACTGTAGATTTGTTTAAAGATACGTACCTAAATAATATTCAATTGAAGCAAAACAAACCTAAACAAAAAAAAATATAAGTCTGCATTTTTATTCAGACATACCTAAATAATGTTCAATTGAAACGAATCTAAATAGAAAAAAAAAGATTAATTTTACTTTTATTTTGTTTTCTAAAGATGCAATGACAAAAGTAATTTTTTGTCAAAATAAAATAAAAACTTTACAATGATTGAATATGGTTTATCACTAATATAAAATCTCACCATTTATTGAATCATATAGTGCTTTTAATGGTTTTGGCGCATTATAGGGTTATGGAAGGACAGGATTGAACAACCTATTAACGCGAGAAGGGTGAACATTACTAGTATTAGAATCAAGAAAAATTTTTGCTAATTGCCGACAACATTTGGTNTAGTTCAAGAGCAACTCGAAAGTTTCGATACATATTTTGAATCGTTTAATACCTCAAGTGACAAATAATGAAAGCTACATAATCTAAATAACAGAGTTTTGGGATAATGTTCAAAAACTAAGATTAATGTTCATGTTTTACATTATTACATAAGATAGAAATACTCGATAGTATTTAATTTATACGTATAAAAAAGTGAAAACATCCGATTAGAGTGTGCCGTGGAAGTGGAACATGCGTTCAGTATAATCATTAGTGTAGCTATAAATACTAAAGAAAGTAATCAAACTTAGAAATAAATAAAAGATTGCTGTAATTAGCCAGTGGATTATATTAGAGTGTGCCGTGGAAGTGGAACATGCGTTCAGTATAATCATTAGTGTAGCTATATAAATACTAAAGAAAGTAATCAAACTTAGAAATAAATAAAAGATTGCTGTAATTAGCCAGTGGATTATATATTAGTTGGACTCTGATTTCAAAGAGAAAAAATGTACTAATACTAGACGATTAAAATAACTTCCTGTACGTTCAAAATATTTCCGGACTAAATCTAAAAGTATATTTTAACTATGTATCATTCGAATTTATTATAGTTTTATACATCGAGTATATGGTAAACTTATTATGTATTTTGTTTAATTTAATCCTGGTTCAAATTCTTTTATATTTTATATTCGTAATCTCATTGTTTTCTCTCCTTTATATTTTTTTCTTCATGATATTCTTTTTATTCTTTTTTGTCTGTCTGTCTCGTCGAACGTTTCCTGTTCGTCATTCGTAATACCACTAAACATTGCAGCCATATTAAGAGATCATACGTTCGATGATTTCACGTCCTCTATAAACCCCAACAGAAACAATAGATCATGACAAAATTTTTTAGCCTTTGTCTGTGATAATTGTAATTTCTTCTGTAATAGATGCAAACGATGAACCTACGACCGTATACGACCGTCGTTTACAGCTGACGTTTGCGGTGGTCGTAAACGACCGCCGTGGAAAGTCGTATTGCGCCGTATACTCTTGTCGTTTACAATGACCGTGTGTGGTGGTTTTTTTCTATCGTATTTCGCCATTTAGGGTCGTATACGATCGTGGCTTTTCGACCTGGGAAGCTCTCTAACCAATCGATTTTTACTATAGTTTAATCTTCATAAAACGAAAAATGGTTCTCTGTTCGCGCTCGCTATTCAACAGAAAGTTACATAAACGCTTCAGTACATTTATTAATGCAATACTTTTCCTTTCTCTCTCTCTCTCTCTGTTTACAATCAACCAAAAATAACAACGCAATATTGTTTGAATCCAGAGTTCTAATAAGTATTTTTCCTTTCGAAAATTTTAAAATGTGAAATTCGGTTGAGTTGACACTGTAGACATGTGTTCCATAAACTTGTTTTCATCTATCAAGTAATTTACAGTTACGTATATGCATACTGGAATGTTCTCATTATATATGAATAAGGAATGAAAAAAAACTGTATTTAACATGAAAGAAAGAAACTAATACAGAAATAATTATATACTTTGAAAATATTTTAATGAATAACTATAAGTAAATATTACCTGCATCCTGACAAGGTTTTACAAAATAATGTATGTCCACTAGTTATTCATACAAAACAGAACGAGAGTATTTACTGATTATATTTCTAGCTTTTTAGTTGTCATTGTTAATTAACAAATATATGTTTGAAAAAAAATTGCCATCTAATAAGGCAAAGCTACAACGAATGTTTGTGAACTAAAGACACCTGTTTCATTTATAATAACATCCTCGGAAAAGAAAGTGTCTGACTCTTTTCCGGAAATATAATCAGAATGTCCAATAGAATAGTCGTCGACAGATATCTGCGATTTCAAGTTCTAGGCACCATTTTAAGTACATGATAAAATGCAGAATAATTTAGCAAATTACTGAGAAAATTTTAATTAATGCAAACATTATAAAATATTTATTCTATTGACCCGCCAACAAACTTATTTATCAAGAAGAAGTAACAGTCATCTTGAAAATTAAAACAAAATTTTACTAAAACATATTTTTGATAGAAACTAATTGAATATATTAATGATAGAAAATTTCTTTTCATATCTATCCTGATTGTTTGATTCGCAAAATATATTTCATAAAAGACTAGTAAATTTTAGTAGGTATGAATGAAATCTCTTTTCATTTTAAATGTTTTATTCAATAGAGTGCAAAACCAGCGTGTACTAATCGTACAAGGACAAGTGAATGATAGGCACGTGTGCAATAACAATTATTGACATACTAAAGAAAACATGTAAATGCAAGGTGGCGTAATCATATTATTCATACGAATACACATATACTTCGCGATCGCTTTTTACATTCGGATGCAAGATATGATCGAAAATTCACAAGAAAATCATATCTACGAAATTCGACATGAAATTATTCATGTGTTCGAATATTTTTTGCTTCGTTTACTGTTCTAAATTTAAAGACATCATCAAAAACGCATTCTATTGGTTCAGCAGTGTTTTTATCTTTTAGTGTGCGCTAAAAAACAAATTTGTTATAAACATTGCTTTTCTCTCTCTAGTCAACGACCGGTGAAATTATGACGATACTTTTGCTTCTAGAATAGACGAGCTCATCTGATATTTCTTGTGACTTAGACTTCAAAAAGTTGTAAAAAAAAAGATTTATATCTTTTTGTTCGCTCCTTTTTGAGACGTTTCCAGCTATATACAAAGAACTATAAAGAAAATAAAGGATGTGCCTTTAAATATACATCATGCTTTCTATTTTCTTCTTAGTTCATCTCGGAGTTTATATGACTACAAGTTACGTATTCATATGCATTTTGTTTTTAGAGATGTATACATAGTATTTAACTAATATGTTCACGTATTGATATAGATCATCAGTAGGAATTATGCGAGAGTATGATATTTATTTAAGCTGCTGTGTATGTGCTTCTGAGTGAGATGAAAAGGTTTCAAAGACTAGATGTAATTTTCTTCGTACTTTATATAATCAAGCAGTTCTTTTTCTGATTGGCTATGTTTTTGTGCACTTACATGATTTATTTTCAATGTTTGACGGTAGCAATGGCATACATTGAGACTGGCGTAAACGCATATTATCGTTAACAGTAAGAGATTAGCCGAGTAAATATAAAAGTACTAGATGTTCTTTCTTCCTGTATATATTTACTTGCATAGATAAAGTTGATATATATATTTATATACAATTTGAAAAACAAGCAAATATACGAACAGAAACTTTGTTCATTATGAATACAAACTTCATTTATGTTGTTCTATACTTTGGCGTGTGCATTTTAAATCAACGATTAGCACTTTGTGGTAAGTAGTTTAAAAACAAGTGTCTATCGTTGACTAATCAAACAATAACATGTTTTTTTTTTATACATAGGACAACAATGCCGTTGTCTTGCAAGTAATTCTTCATGTTGGCCAAGCTTTGCCCAATGGAATAATTTCAACCAATCGGTTGGTGGATGTCTTTTTAGCCCAATGCCATCAGCTGCCGTATGTAACGGAATAACATACAATGCCAATCGTTGCAATATAACGAAAATTTACTGGTCGGACGGATTTTGGCGTAGTAATCAAGCTGGTGCAATGCAAAATTATAATTGGGAAAATACTTCGTGTTCAATTACTACGAACAGTACGATGTGTAATCAAGGTGCTGTACCTGTGATGGCTGTCAATGCCACACTACCCGAACAGGTTCAAGCAACGGTAAACTTCGCTGCTGCGAACAATATTCGATTAGTCATCAAGAGTACAGGACACGATTATCTAGGTCGATCTGCCGCAGCTGGATCTCTACTTCTATGGGTTCATTATATGAAAAACATGACTATTATTAATCAGTATTCATGGTGTGGCCGCGAAAATATATCGAATGCTGCTCGTATAGGTGCAGGCGCCCAATGGGGTGAAGTTTACGAATGGCTGGATGGCTTCAATTTGACTGCAGTAGGAGGGGCATCAGCGTCAGTCAGCGCCGTTGGCGGTTATCTACAAGGTGGTGGACATAGTCCATTATCACGTTGGAAAGGTCTAGCTGCCGATCAAGTACTGGAATATGATGTTATACTGGCAAGTGGCGCGCGCCAAACAGTAAGCCCATGTCAAAACGGCAATCTATTTTGGGCATTAAGTGGCGGCGGTGGCGGTACTTATGCGGTTGTACTTTCGGCAGTTATAAGAACTTTTCCATCTCCATACATCGTTGCTGCTACATATGGAGTCACTGTGCCAAATCAAACTCGTTATGCAACACTCATCGACAGCTTTGTTCGATTATTATCAACAGTAGCCGATGCCGGGTGGTCTGGTTATTTCCAAATGACAGATCTAACTTTGACTGGCATATTTATCGTACCTAATGGAAATATGCAAGCAGTCAACACTACACTTAATCAATTCGCAGCAAACAATAGCGATTTAGACTTTGGAGGCTCCGCTTTTTTTACGCTCCCATCATTTTTTTACTTTTTTGCTATGGCACTAGCACCGAATAATCCTACCGGCTTTGATGTCTTACTTGGCTCACGACTTATTCCTGAAAGTATAATTCGCAATTACCCAAGTCAAGTCGCAAGCGTGTTTGTTCAAGCGAAGGGTGTATCTGCAATGGGATCGAGTCTTCTAGGGCATTTAGTTGCCGGTGGGCAAGTATCTAATGTATCAAATTTTAATAATAGTGTCAACCCAGGATGGCGTAGTTCGCTTCTTCATATGGTCTGTACTCAATCTTGGTTAGATACTACAGCTGCGACTGATATAAACTATGTGATACAACTACTCGCAAATCGAACAGCCATGCTGAATACATTATCAGCAACTCCACAGGGAAGTTGCTACCTGAATGAAGCTAATCCTAATGAACTGAATTGGCAAGAAACGTTTTTCGGTAGTAGCGCTATTTACGCTCAATTGAAATCAATCAAAAATACAGTTGATCCGAATGGATTGTTCGTTTGTAATAATTGCGTTGGCAGCGACGATTGGACATCGAATCTAAATTGTCCGAAGATTTCAAGTTCAACAACAAAAGTCAATTATTCATTATTTATCTTATTCATAGCAATCATTACAATATCATTCTAAATTTTCAACAACAAGAAACTAGAAACTACAAAATATAGATTTTAATATTTATTTTGCTGCACGACATTAACCACTACTTCAAATATTTTTTTCTTTTTCCGCTTTAATTCATATATATATATATATATATATTCTATGTTCAATAAATTCTTACACATATTAATGACAAGTAATTGAGTCTTCTTTTTTATTCACATACCTTGATACTTGTATCAGTACCAAAAGAATCACCTTATGATACATTCCATTATGCCATGAAAAACTTGATGTTAATTTTATATTCTCAATATAAATGCGGATATAGATGCATCTTGAAGATTTAGTCGGTCCCCAGACTAATGAATTTTCTCTGATAAATTGTAAGAAATTTCAATTTAATAGTTTGTTGCGTTAGACTTAAAAAACAAATATATAGTATGCATGAAAAACATTCAGGAAAGTGAATTACAATAATTTACTTGTCCCTTCGATAACTAAAATAGAACTGTATTCACTCAAAAGAAATAGAAAATAGAATAGAAAAATGTTCCAGAACTATAAATACATCCCGAGAGAAAACTATTATATTTTCACATTAATTTGCTTCGTATATATTCCACAGATGTTTCTTGACAGTCAATAGACATAAAAGAAAAGAATTTTTTTAGCAAGTATAGCTTTGAAAAGTTCACACGATTTTGTAACGAACAAATATGATTTCTCTCAAGGTTAAATTTAGTCAGAGACATCTTATAAAATTCGAAATAGATTCTTGAAGAATTTTTTTCGGATTTTAAAAGTGTGATACGCGAGTTCATTCTATCTCATAAATAATTCCTATAAAACTATTTTATAATTTAATAATAGATTTTTCTTTGAGTAGTCAAGTTACTTTCTTTTTTTAATAAGTAGTAATGCCAATCGATCTTAATTTTTTATGTAGATATCCGATGAATTCAAAATATGGATTTTATCCAAAAATGAAGTCGTTTTAAATCGTATCATTTTCTGACAATCAGTACAAATCAAATGATACATCTATTGAAGATGCTAATTAACTAGCTGCATAGTTAAAACACGAAAATTTTTAAACCAGTCAAACCATCCTTGACTACCACATTCTATTTCAGATTAATCACATTCTTTTTGTTATTTTTAAATGCTACCATTCGTATCGATTAAAACTTTATGACAAAATGTACTTCAAAACAAGTGATTCTCAAATAAAAACCATGATATAAACATGCTGAGTTACTTACTCAACAAGATAATTACTCAAAAGACAACAGTATTTCAGAAACATAAATTGCTTTATGACGACCTTCGAACATCATAATGATAAGATAGGATAATTTTATATTGCTTTCTTCTCTACTATATAAAACCCCACGATCGAACCAAGACGAAATTCATTCGCTCGACCAAGAAAAACTATCGAAATGCAATTGTCAAAAATCTTCACCCTTGTCTTCTCGTGTTTGGTTTTATTCGCCTCAATTGCTTACGGTAACAGCATTCGTACTAAAAGCAAACATGTAGGATCTCGTCCAGATACTTTGATCAAACCGGTGAACCATATGCCTCCTGTTCACAAATTTTTGAACAAACAAGGTAACCGACAATCGCCTGGTCGAGCAATTATTGAATCAGTTAGGCAACGACAGAAACATCTATAGATTACATTTCAAAGACTATTTTAATTTTTCTTTTCTTTTTTTTCAACATTCATTATCGTAAGCTAAATAATAAATAAATTGAATAAATACATAAAAATGAAAGTCTATTTAAAGAACTTATTCTAGTTTACAAATTAAAAGAAAAAACAACTAAATATGAAGACAAACCAAGATTAAAACTATCAAGCAATAACGAAACAAATGAAACTATGAAGTAAAGAAAAGAGAAAGAAAAAAAACTAACTTGATAACTCTATACAATAAATAAATAAGATCGAGAGAGAACGCCTTATTTTCGATGTTTTATAGAGCAATTAGTTTTGTCTCTATATTTTTATAACGGCAAAGCAATATACGTAGAATATTAAAAAAAGTTCTCGAACTGATTCTAATCAAATTCAACAAAGATCTGCGCTGAATTACTATATCCGCATAGTTCATAAAAATCGTCTTTTTTCACATTCAGACCATGTTTAAGATACCACTGCATATCTACCAAAATATAATAATAACAAGTTACAGTAGTAGTAGTATTGATGAGCAAATTTATGAATAGTCGAACTATGCACAAATAGGCCAAGCAACATTTTGGATTTTTTGTTTTAGATAAAACCCGTTCAGGAACTTGTTTAAATGTTCTACGTATATTCTTCCATTCTCACGTTCGCTTGAATAATGAAAATTTGTTAATTATTTTTTGAACATGTCTAAAAAAAAGGAGAAGAATTGCAAAGTTTTTTTTTCATTGGATAATTACTTTTTTTATTGAAATTTCCTGTTGACGAATCATCTGCACTTGACCAAGTTGATGATGATGACGATGATGATGAGTTTTGACTACTTCTACTTGAGGATCTACATTTATTATTGTTATTTGTATTTCGCTGGCGGTGATAATTAGTATTGTTTTCTTCAGGTATATATTTAACTTTCACTGCGTTTGTTGCTGATTTTCCATCTTTCATGTAGAAACGCTCGAATGCATCGAGAATTTTTTCGGCTGAACGATTATGGTTGTTTTCGGTGCCATCAGTAATTTCATTATTATTTGATTGATTATAATTTAAATTTGATGAGCTGTGCTGCTGTTGATTTTTGTCATTTGAAGGAGGGACACTGCCGTTGACAGGTAAACGTACAGTTGAACCACGAAGTTGTTGTTCAGGTGTTGGCACAAACGGATGTTGAACAGGTGGAGGTGGTGGAATTTGTAGACGAGCCTGAACATGTGCTGCAGCAGCATGTGCTAATCGTGCAGCTGTTTCTTCAATTGAACTTCTTGCTGGTGCTGAAATTTTAACTTCAGTTTCCAGTATTTGTTTAACTTCGGAACGTGAACTAGAGAAAAAAACTATTTTAGATAGATGGATTGACTTTGTTTTGTAATATTACCGTTCATTAGATTCTGGCTTTGGTTGAGCTGGACTTTGGTTACGTGCTGGAATGTTCGACGATGTTGCATCTGATTGTTGAACAAGATTGTTGTCCTGATGTACACTATTATTACTTTCAGTTCGATGACGATGTTTTTTCGGTGATGCTTCTCGGCTATGATCATTATGTGTGTTATTCAATTCCACAATAACAGGTGTTTGTCTTGGTGATCCGAAATTTTCACGTTTTGATCGTCGATGTGTTGACATAGTTTCGTCTTTTGTTGATGTTTCATTATTATTAATATTTAATGCTGCTTTACTGAGTTTTTTTTGTAGTTTATGTAATTCATTTTCTAATGAATGAATATGATTTCTTAAACGATCAATTCTTTGTTCTTCAACAATAATAGGCGCTGCTTGATTTGGCCACGGTTGACGAGCATTGAACGGAGCTGTTGGATCATAGAAATTGGGTCGAGCAGCATAGGACTGATAAGGATTAAATGGTGGATGGACATCCGTAAATGGCGTTTGAGCATATCCAACTATTGGATATGGTTTCTTTGGATCATCTTCGTGTGGTAATAATTTATTTTTAGCTTCTGGTGGTAAGCGTGTTGAACGTTTAACTTGTTTTTGAAAACCATCCCCACGTCGAGTCGATTCTTCGTATACTTGATTGTAACTGTTATAAAGCGGTTGTTGATGAACCTGAAAAAATATTGAGGAAAAGAAAACTGTTGTGTAGTTCGCTGTATAATATTTACTTTCAATTGTGATGGCAAATCAGAATAGAAAGGAGGTGGCTGTTCAAAATAAGTATTATTGCGTTCATACGGATCATTAGACTCATGTTTTTTTGTTTTCTTTGAACGTGAGTTACGTTTTTTTCTCTCATCAGGATTTTGTTGTTGTCCTTCTCCGGCAACTGTTGTATCACCTTGTGATATGTTACCGTTCGTTTTTTCAACTGATTGAGCTGGTTGCTCTTGATTAGTTTCTTTTGGAAGATTGTTCAATAGAGCCGATGGGCTTCGACTACGATCTTCAGAATTTTTTAGATTATTTTTTTCTTTGTCCGAATATAAACCTTGATCGGCTGCACCACTTGACGGAACATTTCGTTGTTTAGGAGTTTTTTTATCTATCATAGAAGAATAGAAATCTATTGAAAACTAGGAAAAATACTTACTTTTTGATCCATGTTTTGGGCGACGCTCATTTTGTTGAGTTGGTCCCGCTGGTGGATATTGACCATTTCGTCGAGACGACTTTTGAATGAACTGACCGTTCGATGGTGGAAGTTGTCTACTGGCTGGCGGTAATGATTGTCCGCGTGATAACGAAGCTTGCGGAAACGAAAGTGGAATTGAAGGATTAAATCCGCCATATTGCGATTGATATATCGTTGGTGGTAGTTGCTGAACGGGATATTGAAAACCCATTGGAAGTTTATTGAATGCAGTTGCTGTAAACATGATGTTAGTTGCAAGATAAAAGATGAAATCTGAAATAAGATAATGTTCAACTACAAAAATTGTCTAACAGCGAAACGAAGCCATTTTCATGTGAACTACTCAAGTTATATTGAATGTTCGATTCTTCAAATAATTTTATCTTTTTTGTATTCTACACTTAAATAATGAATGATTGAAAAAGTATACATCAAAATCACCTTGAATATGCTAATAAAATGTTATCGTCACCAATAGTATCAACATCTTCACTTGCCTATTCATGCGCATCGAATTCTCTTGTATAATTATTATTTGAAGTTTTCTTTTTTTGCTTATTTCATACTCATTCAATGGTCCATATGAAGAATAAAATTGCTACAGTTAGAGCAAGAGAGAGAGAGAGAGAGAGAGTGAAACCCTATACGCTCGAATATGTAATGAGTAAAGAATATGTGTTCATACGGAGAAATTATATGTCGTCGTTGTACGTTTAATTATTCGAAAAAAATAAGCGTATCTCTCTTTCTCGCTCTTTCGGATACATATTCATAGAGCAAAAGGACACAGATGGTTATCAATCTTCATTATCGATTTCATTTTAACATATGCTTTAAACAGAAAAATGAGAGATTTAAATCATTCGAGCGTTTTTTTGTATCATTTGAACTATATAATAAAATATTTCTTTTTAAGAAATTCTATAGAAAAATTCATTAATATTGATATTGAAATTCATCTTTATCTATTGAATTTGTTCACTCACTTATCCAATTTTTCTTTGTTCTACTACATCTAGATGACTTGTATAGTTCTGGTTGAATGAACATGTACATTTAATCGGTGAATGCTCGTTGTTTGCGGTCAACTCCTTACTTACCGTCAACGTTGATAGGTTGAAGTTTTTCTTTAGATATTGATGTTCTCATTTATCTATGTGAAATCATGTCTATGAGATGTTCGAACACATTATCGCTGACCAAATCGTATATATTAAAAAAATGAAATACATATATAAATCTTGACACTTTAAAAAGAAAGAGACCAATGAGCATAGGATATGACCAATCGCACGATGGACTTGTTACGAGAAAAAAAGGCGAACAAGATAATCAATTTAAATGAAATACATTATCATGTGATATTGTTTTATATTTGTATATTCGATAAATGTCATTCAAAAAAAGAATCTCCCATTGATTGAAGTTCAGTCTCTTTCGTTTAGGTAAAAATGATCTTGAATTTGATGATAAGTATGACAGAAAAATTAGTTATTTTATCATTGCAATTGATGCCTATCAGGCTGCAGTTATATCTAATATGTTTGAATAATTGATACGAAGGTTAGACTTGATATTCTAATTTCGTGTGCAACTTGGTTCAACGCATCTAGTACAATATGATGTAGCATATCGGCATTGAATATTATATTGTGTATGCTACTGATTTTGACACGATATTGAGAGTGACATGTCTCAAGAAATATCTCTCAATCATTTATTTTATCTTGATGAACAATTGCAGTTAATACAGCGTAGGAAATAAATCTCGAAATATTTCTGAAATGATTGTATCTTTTCGGTGATATTTTAAGAGATATGCTAAAGTACATTTGGACTTATACAGGCTTGTTGTCATGCTTCTATGAAACATTGACAGATGAATTTTTCATTATTTTAAAAGTGCAGAAGAGCATTGCGGAGAACACTTTAACACTTATTCATTGCAAATACAATTATTGAAATAGAACAAAGTGCACTTGACAATACTTTCCTGCACTAGTCTATGTCACAATGTTTCATGATGTTCGAAGTAAAAATATTCTAGGACAAAAATTATATATCATTATAACGGGCTGTACAACCATAGGCGGTGGACCATTATGCTTGGGAAGGCTCGTTTAATTTGAAAAAAAGTTGTCGAAGCAGACCACCTATTAGTACCAGATTGTTTTGTTTTTATTTTTTCCCTCTCATCATCCTTATCCTCTGAATAAAATTGAGCCTCGCCTAGATTGAACTCGTTCCGCCGCCGTTGTGTACAACTTATCTACCTAGTTAAATGTTCGATTTTCATACATAGTACCAGTATTCTATAACAAAAACAAAGATGTATAGTGTCAGGTTCGACAGATCTTCATCTAGTTTACAATAATTGAATGGATACTACGGCCATGATGAAAGTTTTCGTTTTAAACGATTTGAATTGACGTAATTTAGTAAAGAGGCTCATTTTGTTGTTTTTCATAGAGCGAAAAAAAATTCAGCATAAAGCGATATATTTGTAGAGGAATAAAATGTGAAGAAATATTCACGATACATTTCTACTGACATTTTCAACGAAGTAAAAACAATTGAAAGCTACAATGATTCGTAAGAAGCAAAAATCACTTCTGTTTCTTGCACTGAGCGACAAGTTGAAATCGATAGAACATAAATGTTACTCGATTCATACTGACACCGTTTATATTGACTTTAATGTTAGCAGAGTCTATGTAAGACTCACACCGTGCATAAAAAACTCTCGCTCTTTGTCCTAACATTTTGTACAAGATTTTCAAAGATGGATCCGAACTCTAATGGAAACTAGTGATAGTTTAATACTGTTCGAATGTTAAACTGAATTTCACATTTTTACGGTTTTATTTTCAATCATATTTGATACCGATAGAAATATAAAAAAAACAAATGCATCAAAATTCTCTTAAATTCTTCTATCTATGCAGTACAATAGCGAGAGCAAGTGCTCTGTGGAGTAACAAGACCCCATAAATAAAATGAACCACAATTTGTTACTTGAACTGTGTTTGAATAGTTACAAGTATTCGAACCCCAAGCACAACATACTGTTCCACTAGTAGAGGTGCCTGATGCTGGGAATGACTCTGTATACCATAGTACTTTGAACCTGGAGCAGATGTTGCTAATTGAGTCCCACCAGCACCACTAAATCTAGTCCAGGTTGTAGTTGTGCTGAAGTAATTTATATCGCAAGTGCTTCCACCAGTGGATGTTGTTAAACGAGTTGAATCACTAATTGTTGTATAAGATGAACACTCGGATCCTGCAGCAGCAATCTGTATTGCTGTTGTGGTCGCGGTTGTTATTGTCGTAGTCGTCGTTGTAGTAGTTGTGCTCGATACTATAAATAAAAGGGCAAAAAATATGATTTGAAATTTTTGGAAAATTAGTCATAAGTACTTGTTGCGAATGGTCCTGTATAAGTAAGAGCAAGCGCTACTAACATCGTAACTGAAGCCACAAGAAGAACTGTTACACAAGTATCGACGACAATAATTAATGTTTTTGAATTGGCAGTTGGTGTTCTATTAGAAAAAGTATCTACATTTTAAATGAAGCCTCACAGAAACTATTGGTTTACTTACGTGATTGCTTCCGAAACGGATTCGATGGCACCTAAATTAACATTGATGTCATGTGATGAAGACTGCATGTTATATTTAGTAGATTATGAAATGAATAAATTAAATAATTCCTCACCGACTTTGGAATATGATCCCAAGATGACATTGAAATTCTTTGTTTGAAACAGCAAAAAATTAAAAATACTCCTAGAATTTCTCTGTTAGCGTATGCCCGCTTATATACTGTTGGACAATCTTTCAATTTGGAAAAGGCAATAATTAAGTTTTTCTTTTGTGCTTAGTTTAGCAAGATTGGATTTGGTTCTTTTTTTTCATTTTGTTGAAGCGTTAGAATGAAAACACGACTACCCTATTTTGCTCTTTCTCGATTGGTGAGCAAAACAAGTCTCATCGTGTTTGCTGATTGATTCTATCAACCTTTAGCCACTGAAAATAGACACTAAAGTCAACGTGATTCAAAACAACGAATAAGAGTCCGTGTTAACATAGTAACTAACGAAGAAATTTTTTCTTTTTTGCATTATACGTTGCTATACAATTGGGTGTAGTAAATCAAGAAAATCACGTTTCAGTTCAAAGATGGATGACCTCATTATCATAATTTTCGAACACAAAGCAGAGTAGAGAGTCGAAACATACATTCCTAACAAAACCAGTGGATGATAATTTTCACTATAACCTTCGAAAGCAAACAACATAAAAAAAAACTTTGTTACTGAAAGTATGTCAATAATAATGAACTGCATCTTATTCACATGAAATTCAAATCATTTTGTTCCGAGGCGAAAAGTATGTGTACGTTCCTGCCGACATTTAACATCTATAATCATCATTAGAAGAAGAAAACCTTTGACTTCAAATGCGTGCAACACTCTTGAATATTCATTCCATCGCTAAACTAATAATTGCACATGATTCTGTAAAATCACAAAAACGAAAAAGAATCCTGACGTCAGAAAACTCAATTTATATTATTCTCCGCCAGAACCTATTTGACCCTATTAAAAGTAGGGCAAGACGGAGCATCAACGTTACCGATGATCTTTCTTATCAAATATTTTGCAAGGACGAGCATTTCTTTGCATTTGAAGTATAATTACAAGTATTATTGCGGATGCATTTCCGAAAAACAAAATTAGGCTATATTTAGTTTCCATTCGAATTGATGATGAACACGTTCATGTTAGACTATATTTCAGTCCAATGAATCTTAATAATCTTTTCAACAAAGCTCTAATCCATTGTGTGACATTTGATAATAATAATAAAATAGAGAAGATTATTTACAATGAAATATAGCAATTGGTAGCAGCAGATAAAGTCTTCATGTTATTGATTCGTAAATGTCAGTGAACTTTTAAAAATGTCAAAAAAGAACGCCTCTACAAAATTGATTTTAAGCACAGTGTGGCAATACACTTGAGAACGAAAAAAAAGAACGCTGTTTTGAAAACCGTACCCGTGCAACATAGAGAAATTATAGTGAAATACAAAATAAAAAAGGTGAACATTAGCTAATTCTTATTGTTGAAATTATGGATTCAGAGAACGATCGTCTTGATGTGCAAAACTTATCATGACATTGCAAAGTTAACATATCTTTCGAACGTTTAACATAACCAATCAATTCATGAGATAAAATAATACTCCTACAGAAAAAAAAAAGAACAAATAGTCAATACAGCAAAATGATTGACATATGTTATTTAAACAGTTAAAAATGAATGAAAAACGGCGAGATCACGTCAGAATGGACGAAAATAGGATGCTCTTATTACTTGCCTTTTTTCGTCGGAAACGGTCTTGAACTACATCGTTAGCGGTCCGGGGAAAAACGACCCGTAATCCGAACTGACGGAAAACGGCTAACAACGGGGGTCGTTTTTCATCGCTTAGAGCATTATTTGCGCCGTTTCGTAACTGTTTCAGGCGGTTTGAATGATGGACCTGGGTGGGTGAGAATTCTACGACATATGTAAGATCATAATCCTGAGATTCGACTTCTATTCTTCGATGAGGAGATGTTTGAAACAAAAGTACTGATTGTTAACGAATAAATTTTTGCTAATATTAAAAACAGGAAAGATGCAAAAGAAATGGTAACTTTGCTTATCTTGCTATAGAATTAGATATAATTGTTTTATAAATAGTAGACATAAAAATTGTTTTATTGAATTCTGTACTTTACTTGAATATTTTCTTCTTGAACTTATTCAAATATTTCCGATGAATCTAATGAACAAAAAAGGAAATTATCAAAAGTTATTCATGAAATCGCACAATGTATTTATTGTTTATATGATCGTGTTTTATGTGAATCAAAAATGAAATATTTAAATGATCATAAATCGAGTTTGTACAATAATAAAAATGAAGTTAAATAAAAATAGTCTCATCAAAATCTTAGAAAATGTTTTTTTTTATACGGAAAGTATTTTTCAAAGCTTTGAATCTATGATTGAATGGAATGATGAACGTGAGTGAACAATGACAAAAACTTTTATTAAGTTACATAACTGATGCAACATTGATTAATTGTCAAGGAAAACAAAACGATGAACTTATACGTTTATCTAATAAATCATTTAAATCAAATAATGCGTCAGTTAGTTTTCTTCTTTTTTCTTTTACTTAAAAATATTTAATTTTAGTTTGATCGAAAAAGATTTATATTATCTTTTTTTCCGGATTATTCTCTTAAAATGCGAGCGAAAGATGTGGTAATAAATGACTTCTCAAAGCAGCAGAAAAAAGACTCAATCTTTGATGAATTTTTTAATTGTTTAGAAAAGTACAAGAGAAAATACATGATCGAAAAAAGAATGACCAGAGAAAAGAAACAATGACGATCTCCATTTAATCTGTTTTTCGCAATTCCATGATAATTTTCGTATACAGTTGAGTAAATTGCCAATCTTTTTGTCCATGAAATGAAACAATAAGACGTTCTGCAATAAAAATTAAAAGTGCATAGACGTTAAGTATGAAGCTAGCTTACCAAATTCAAGACAAAATAACATAATAAAATGTTTAATATCTTCATTTGTATTTTCTTGAATTTGATCATATACCATACGAAGCGCTCATAAACGATCAAAGCAAAGATTCCCCAGAATTTTAGCACATTTTGTTGTTGAACTTTATCTGTTTTATGATGATGGCTTAATAACAAATGAGCTACGGCACTATCATCCATTGCACCACTTTCGATGAGGCTAAGTATTGCTGATATGGCCTTCGAAGAATGATGGTCATCATCATCCGATTCATTCAAATACAGCTTCATCAGTAACGTATCAGCAATTCGTGCTATTATATAATAAGCCTGTTTATATAGAACAAAAGTTAGATGATTTTTTTTTGTTGAACGCTAAAAAAAAGACACATATAGAAAAATATACGTGCTATTTTGCGTCTTTTCTCTCTTTCAAACTACGCAGCAATGAAAAACAAGAAACAAAATTCATTCGCGCCGATTATATGGCAATAGATTTCGATCTCTAGGATATAAAAAAAAGATTATCAATAGACGTACACTTTTATAGTGTTCAATTTTGAATTTTAACACTGTAATTGTGTTTTGAAATTCTTGTACATCATCGGCTTGTTGTACGATATTGTGGTTGGTACAATTTGTTACAAGATGAATTCATTTGATAAGATACAAAATATAAATATCTCCCACTTAAATATTGACGAGTTTCAGCTACTTGTTTACCCAGGTGAATGAATCCTATATCGGATCCAACCAGCCTATAAAATTTTATGGGATTCTGGGTCACGGAACCACCAACGGATCCGATGGAAAAAAGTATTTAATTAATTGACCACCAGTAATTAGTACCTCAAGCCAACATTAGAGGATAGTCCGAGTCGATCGTTGGATCCGTCACAATCCAACAGTAGGATCCGATAGGAATTCGCTGGTTTATTGGAAATTTATATAAAATCCGATCGGAATCCTATAGGATCTTATTGGGTCCGATTGTCGGAATGATCCTCCTGGGTAACTAACTTTGCTTGTAAAACATCCGATAATTTGAATTGTTTGCAACTGTGACGAATTTTGCCAAACGTACATAATATTGATTCACGTGCAACTAATTCTGTAGATGTATTTTCGATTTTAAAGGTATTATGATCGAAATATTGAATCTCAATATTTTTATTTTCATCGTCAGCATTTATAACTTTCGCAAGCCAATATGAACCTAAATATAAAAAAATACACCATAGAATCGAGAATTATAAATGAATAAGGGTAAATTTACGACCATTTTCATTAAGCACTGCTATGACTGAACTCTTTTCAATTGTTAAATCTTCGTGTTCTGTCATAATATCTATAGAAATATAAAGAAAATTAACATTTGGTAAAATGTTAAGAACTAATGAGTGCTACTATTCCCAGGTCGTGGACGTACGGCGGGAAACGGCCGGAAAGCACAGGAAAGCGCTGGAAAGTGGAAGCAGTATTCCAGTTGGAAGTTACCGGATTTTCTTCC